AAATGCCACTGTATATCTGAGATATTTCGAATCATGAAATTTCGCACTCCATACTCGTTGTATTGTACTATAGACTCATCAAAACGTGATACAAGCAATGTCATAATCCTCCAAATAAAAACCAACACGTTTCTTTATATAGCCTCCAAATTGTGGAATAGCATACATAAACGGATTCTAAATGAGAATGGGGAAATCCTCATTACTTCTGTATCTTTGGTTAAATTACGCTGTAAAAGTATCATCCTGGGATCTCAATCCATCAACAATAATAACACCTGGACTTACCACAACTTTCACATCGCCCCTCACTCAGTCACAGACCAAACCAGTTCATCACTCACTCACCAAATTGCCGACCCAATATCTATTGAAGAGGCGTAAATTTTCTAGACAAATGACATATCGATATTATTGCTGCAGCAGATACAAATACCAACATTATTATATTCCCAAACGTTTGAACCATTAAATTAACTAGGAAATTCAATCATCAACTTAACTTTTACTGTTTAAAACTGATATGATGATATTAACTTAACTTATTAGTTATTATTATTTTTTTACATACTTCTTCTTAGTGTGGTGACTTGGGGTCCATAAATATAACAATACAAGCTGATAAACCAAAAAGAACAACTGGGGTAGGTAGGTAGCCCTGGTGGGTGCATAAACTTTACGGTCTGCTCTCTCCAAGATCAGCCTGCTTCTCCATTTTACCGTGAAGCCTAATTTCTAGTTTTTATAAATACAATGCAAGTGCAGGTTTACTAATCTTAATCTACTTAACAACTCAATAGCCCAAGTCACCATACCCGTAGTATATTCCATGGTAATAGAAGAACTTTAAAGTTTTTAAAATTGTTGCTATAATTGATTTAAATAAAAAATATGTTGTTTTCTTGAAAAATTTGTTGTTTTCTTGACATTACGAAGATCGAAAATTGGCTTACTGGGCCGCGCTCAGCCTGTCATTCCACCGAATCTCTATTCGGTTTATGTTTATGAACATAATAGCCTGAGGTCCCCAGGTAAAAATTGGTGAGTGGCCACAGAAAACAGAAAATTTATATCTGGGAGGAAATTTAAAACTTTCTGGATGTGGGGGTTGCAGCTAGCTAGCTTGAGTGGCGGTGGAGTTATGGAGGTGCATAACATTAGACACAACTAATTCTTACCTACACACCTTAACTATTTGTTCAGGGTCATCCATAAATTATGTCAGTGCAATAAATTAGGCTAATTTTCAATCTTCGCCTTACATTGTAACACCCTCCCCCGGTTTTTGACATTTGCATCGAAAGTAGTTTCATAGAATGAATTTAAATTCAACCTCCTTAATAAATATAAACTCAGAGCTGACAAATGATCTCAAATCGGAAATGATCATGGCTCGGTCGTTATTGCAGCGTCATTTAAGTTGTTTGTTACCTCATACCTAAATGGAACAAGATTTTTTCAATGAAACTAGAAATTTAATTTTTAGCACATTCCCAGAAAACCTTACCGCCTGCTGGGCTTGCTAGAGGTGATAGATTTTCAACAGCACGTTTGGCGTCGCGCGTCACATCGAGTTTACCTTTCACACGCTGCATTTAGTTTAGTAGTCATGACAACGACATGACTTTGCAAATTTTAAAAGCTGCGATCTTTAATTTAGCCAAAAATTAAACTTTTCGGTTTAATTCAAAATCTAAGTTGTCCCCAATTGTGCTCCTGGGGAGCCTCCTTTAAATTTACGAGACGGACATTTTGTTGAAAACCGGAAGGTTCTATCTATTTTACTTTTGGAGATATTGCCCGGCCGGTAGGGTTTGCTGGGCCGAACCTAGGCGCGTTTAAAAGAATTTGCACTTCATTTTAAAACGTTCACTTTGACAAACCATACCCAGCAAACCTTACTGGCTGGCGATATTACTACAGGGTGATCGCCTTTTCACAGCATGTTGAACTCCGCGCGCGCTCGCTAGATCATTGCATTTGCACGCTTCAAATATACCAAGAATGTAATTGTACCGCGTACCACGTGATACTATTCAGCAAATCAGAGAACAACAATCTGCAAAGTTAAAGCTACGCAGTTTTATAAGGCCTAAAATATGACTTTTCGCGATAATTCAAAATCTACGTTGTTTTCAATTTTCCCCCTGGGGGGAAACGTTATTTTTGCAAAACGAACATTTTGCAAAAAACCGGAAGACGCGACGCTATCTCTTTTACTTTTAAAGTTAGGCTCCAGCCAGTAATGTTTCCTGGGAAGTGATAAGGCTATTATGGTCATAAGAGAACTGAGAAGTCGTTCATGCGAAAAGCATAATTGAGTGCGTGGCGCTGCACAGTAACGCATATCGCTTTACCTTTACAACCTTACCTGGGGACCCCAGGCTATTATGTTCATTAACATATAATGTTCTAAAACATATAAACGAATTAATTGACGATGTCAATTCATGGCAGCTCGGCGCGGCACAGTAGTGCATCTCGCCGATCTGTGTCGCTGTGAGAAGCCTTAATAAGTGCGCGGCGCGGCACAGTAACGCATCGCGCTACAAATAAACGAATAAAGATTCGGCGGAATGACTTATGACAGGCTGAGCGCCGCCCAGTTTACCTGGGGACCTCAGGCTATTATGTTCATAAACATAAACGAATATGGAATAGAGATTCGGCAATCAGCGGAATGACAGGCTGAGCGCGGCCCAGTAACGCCCTGCATTACCTGGGGACCTCAGGCTATTATGTTCATAAACATAAAGATTAGGCGGAGCGCGGCCCAGTAACGCCCTGCAGTAATCTACAACTTTATGTTCAAGATTTGACCATTGTTAATGGCTAATACTAAATACTAGTGGACTCTATGCAACTCTCCCAGCACCCCTAATTTTACTGATCTGGAGGTCACATTTTATTGAGCCAGTACAGGCTAATACTAAATACTAGTGGACTCTATGCAACTCTCCCAGCACCCCTAATTTTACTGATCTGGAGGTCACATTTTATTGAGCCAGTACAGGCTAATACTAAATACTAGTGGACTCTATGCAACTCTCCCAGCACCCCTAATTTTACTGATCTGGAGGTCACATTTTATTGAGCCAGTACAGGCTAATACTAAATACTAGTGGACTCTATGCAACTCTCCCAGCACCCCTAATTTTACTGATCTGGAGGTCACATTTTATTGAGCCAGTACAGGCTAATACTAAATACTAGTGGACTCTATGCAACTCTCCCAGCACCCCTAATCTTACTGATCTGGAGGTCACATTTTATTGAGCCAGTACAGGCTAATACTAAATACTAGTGGACTCTATGCAACTCTCCCAGCACCCCTAATTTTACTGATCTGGAGGTCACATTTTATTGAGCCAGTACAGGCTAATACTAAATACTAGTGGACTCTATGCAACTCTCCCAGCACCCCTAATTTTACTGATCTGGAGGTCACATTTTATTGAGCCAGTACAGGCTAATACTAAATACTAGTGGACTCTATGCAACTCTCCCAGCACCCCTAATTTTACTGATCTGGAGGTCACATTTTATTGAGCCAGTACAGGCTAATACTAAATACTAGTGGACTCTATGCAACTCTCCCAGCACCCCTAATTTTACTGATCTGGAGGTCACATTTTATTGAGCCAGTACAGGCTAATACTAAATACTAGTGGACTCTATGCAACTCTCCCAGCACCCCTAATTTTACTGATCTGGAGGTCACATTTTATTGAGCCAGTACAGGCTAATATTAAATACTAGTGGACTCTATGCAGCTCTCCCAGCACCCCTAATTTTACTGATCTGGAGGTCACATTTTATTGAGCCAGTACAGGCTAATACTAAATACTAGTGGACTCTATGCAACTCTCCCAGCACCCCTAATTTTACTGATCTGGAGGTCACATTTTATTGAGCCAGTACAGGCTAATACTAAATACTAGTGGACTCTATGCAACTCTCCCAGCACCCCTAATTTTACTGATCTGGAGGTCACATTTTATTGAGCCAGTACAGGCTAATATTAAATACTAGTGGACTCTATGCAGCTCTCCCAGCACCCCTAATTTTACTGATCTGGAGGTCACATTTTATTGAGCCAGTACAGGCTAATACTAAATACTAGTGGACTCTATGCAACTCTCCCAGCACCCCTAATTTTACTGATCTGGAGGTCACATTTTATTGAGCCAGTACAGGCTAATACTAAATACTAGTGGACTCTATGCAACTCTCCCAGCACCCCTAATTTTACTGATCTGGAGGTCACATTTTATTGAGCCAGTACAGGCTAATACTAAATACTAGTGGACTCTATGCAACTCTCCCAGCACCCCTAATTTTACTGATCTGGAGGTCACATTTTATTGAGCCAGTACAGGCTAATACTAAATACTAGTGGACTCTATGCAACTCTCCCAGCACCCCTAATTTTACTGATCTGGAGGTCACATTTTATTGAGCCAGTACAGGCTAATACTAAATACTAGTGGACTCTATGCAACTCTCCCAGCACCCCTAATTTTACTGATCTGGAGGTCACATTTTATTGAGCCAGTACAGGCTAATACTAAATACTAGTGGACTCTATGCAACTCTCCCAGCACCCCTAATTTTACTGATCTGGAGGTCACATGCATTTTATTGAGCCTATGCAGTATATGCAATTCTGTTTTAGACAGTCAATTTATTTAAAAAAGGTCTCACCCTCTTAAAAACTTCCGTTGGAAATGTTTCTATTAATTTCACATTGGAAAACTTTTCATTGTGTCTGACCTCAACTTAGATGTATTTGTTTTTTTTTGCTATTTTTCAGCAACTCCAATTCTCTTTTGTAGAGCTGATTCTTGTTATATAGAAGTACACTCGATACATCTATCTTATATAATATGAAAATATATTGTACAGCCAAACTACTGGTATATCTTTATATTGGGAAGAAAAATAATACAAGTTCTAGTATTCTTTTAAAAATAGCCGTTCATAACATTTATTTCATTTTAGGTATGTGTGTGTGAAACATCAGAACTGAATAATGGACCAGAGAATTCAGAGATCTTTGGTTACCTGTTTCCGGTTTCGTCGGTTCACACTTCACATTGCTGCGTTCCTGACCTAGCTTCGCCTGCATCAGTAGATCATATTATAATATGCATTATAGACTATAGTTATACAGCTTGAATTTGAAAGAGCTACATGGTCGTTGTTTCGAGTGCTTTTTCATCTGCTGTGATGAATTGGCAGACAGCATCAACGGTTACCAACATAATAGGTGCATTGCAAGTTGTGCAATGCTGAATGCATGCGTTTCGTCAGTGACTTCCTTCTGCCTCATTGATGCGAAACTGATAATAAACATGCAAGAGAATACAGCTATAGTTACTCTGGACTGCCATGATAGAAACATTGAAACAGATATTGACTGGCTTTAGGTATGTGAGACGTAAGTATTGAAACCTCAAATTGTTATGATCAGGTTCAACATACTTGCTATGATCCTTTATATAATATCAATATATTATATAAAATATAATATATTACATTGTATATTAATCTTGATATAAAATCTTCGCTTTTTGATGATTGTAAGATGTTCTGTTTCGTTGTAACCTTGTCCCCTACATAATTATACTAGAAAACCCGTGGTCACAGGGAGGAAGCTAATACTATTCTTTGGTAGTCAGTTTCTATCGCACCAAAAAAATATTCATCACAACCGAAGATACAGCCAATTAAAATATAGCTCGCACTTAACACCACGTAATAACAAAAACCGATCAAAATGCCTCTCTCAAATCCTTGCACGTGCACGTGGGAACAACAATCTTCGTTACCATGGTTACTATGCAACTTCCTATTTCTCATCTAATTTGCACGTGGGCGGTCGTACAGACAGAAACAATTCTCTGAACTATAGTAGAGATAATAGTACATCATTACTTCCATTTTTCAGGTTTTTATTGGTGTTGCAAACGATGTAACGATCACTAAATTCTGTGCCTATGTGAGATTTGTTGGTTCATCGAATAACATGAAACTTACAGTGTGAGTAATTCAACTATCATGCACTTCATATTTTATGTCCCCCTACTCATTGTTCACTCTCTGTCTTCATCAGTGTTACTCTACATTTCTCTCTGCAGTTATTCTTCCACTCAGTATTAACTCTCTGTCTTCATCAGTGTTACTCTATATTTCCCTCAGTAGTTATTCTCCCAATCAGTGTTAACTCTCTATCTTCATCAGTGTTATTCTACATTTCCCTCAGTAGTTACTCTCACACTGAGAGTTAACTCTCTGTCTTATTCTCCCACTCAGTATTAACTCTCTGTCTTCGTCAGTGTTACTCTCTATTTCCCTCAGTAGCTACTCTCCCACTCAGTATTAACTCTCTGTCTTCATCAGTGTTATTCTACATTTCCCTCAGTAGTTACTCTCACACTGAGAGTTAACTCTCTGTCTTCGTCAGTGTTACTCTATATTTCGCTCAGTAGTTATTCTCCCACTCAGTATTAACTCTCTGTCTTCATCAGTGTAACTCTACATTTCTCTCAGTAGTTATTCTCCCACTCAGTATTAACTCTAGCTCTCTGTCTTCATCAGTGTTACTCTACATTTCTCTCAGTAGTTATTCTCCCAATCAGTGTTAACTCTCTATCTTCATCAGTGTTACTCTAGACATTTCCTTCAGAAGTTAATCTCCCACTCGACTCAGTATTAACTCTCTGTCTTCGTGAGTGTTACTCTATTATATTTCCCTCAGTAGTTACTCTCACACTGAGAGTTAACTCTCTGTCTTCGTCAGTGTTACTCTATATTTCGCTCAGTAGTTATTCTCCCACTCAGTATCAACACTCTGTCTTCGTCAGTGTAACTCTACATTTCTCTCAGTAGTTATTCTCCCACTCAGTATTAACTCTAGCTCTCTGTCTTCATCAGTGTTACTCTACATTTCTCTCAGCAGTTATTCTCCCACTCAGTATTAACTCTAGCTCTCTGTATTCATCAGTGTTACTCTACATTTCTCTCAGCAGTTATTCTTCCACTCAGTATTAACTCTCTGTCTTCGTCAGTGTTACTCTATATTTCCCTCAGTAGTTATTCTCCCAATCAGTGTTAACTCTAGCTCTCTGTCTTCATCAGTGTTACTCTACATTTCCCTCAGTAATTATTCTCCCACTCAGGATCAGTATCAACTCTCTGTCTTCATCAGTGTAACTCTACATTTCTCTCAGTAGTTATTCTCCCACTCAGTATTAACTCTAGCTCTCTGTCTTCATCAGTGTTACTCTACATTTCCCTCAGTAATTATTCTCCCACTCAGTATCAACTCTCTGTCTTCATCAGTGTAACTCTACATTTCTCTCAGTAGTTATTCTCCCACTCAGTATTAACTCTAGCTCTCTGTCTTCATCAGTGTTTCTCTACATTTCTCTCAGCAGTTATTCTTCCACTCAGTATTAACTCTCTGTCTTCGTCAGTGTTACTCTATATTTCCCTCAGTAGTTATTCTCCCAATCAGTGTTAACTCTCTATCTTCATCAGTGTTACTCTAGACATTTCCTTCAGAAGTTAATCTCCCACTCGACTCAGTATTAACTCTTTGTCTTCGTGAGTGTTACTCTATTATATTTCCCTCAGTAGCTACTCTCCCACTCAGTATTAACTCTCTGTCTTCATCAGTGTTATTCTACATTTCCCTCAGTATAGTTACTCTCACACTGAGAGTTAACTCTCTGTCTCTATCAGTGTAACTCTACATTTCTCTCAGTAGTTACTCTTTCACTCAGTTTTAACTCTCTGTCGTCATCAGTGTTCTCTCATCTTAGTTATTCTCCCACTCAGTATTAACTCTCTGTCTTCGTCAGTGTTACTCTATATTTCCCTCAGTAGTTACTATCACACTGAGAGTTAACTCTCTGTCTTTGTCAGTGTTACTCTATATTTTGCTCAGTAGTTATTCTCCCACTCAGTATTAACTCTCTGTCTTCGTCAGTATTACTCTACATTTCCCTCAGTAGTTATTCTCCCACTCAGTATCAACTCTCTGTCTTCATCAGTGTAACTCTACATTTCCTTCAGAAGTTATTCTCCCACTCAGTATTAACTCTCTGTCTTCGTCAGTGTTACTCTATATTTCCCTCAGTAGCTACTCTTCCACTCAGTATTAACTCTCTGTCTTCGTCAGTGTTATTCTACATTTCCCTCAGTACTCAGTAGTTACTCTCACACTGAGAGTTAACTCTCTGTTAACTTCTCTGTCTTTCCCTCAGTAGTTATTCTCCCAATCAGTGTTAACTCTCTATCTTCATCAGTGTTACTCTAGACATTTCCTTCAGAAGTTATTCCCTCACTCAGTATTAACTCTCTGTCTTTGTCAGTGATACTCTACATTTCCCTCATGCTCAGTAGTTATTCTCCCACTAAGTATTAACTCTCTGTCTTCGTCAGTGTTATTCTATATTTCCCTCAGTAGCTACTCTCCCACTCAGTATTAACTCTCTGTCTTCATCAGTGTTATTCTACATTTCCCTCAGTACTCAGTAGTTACTCTCACACTGAGAGTTAACTCTCTGTTAACTTCTCTGTCTTTCCCTCAGTAGTTATTCTCCCAATCAGTGTTAACTCTCTATCTTCATCAGTGTTACTCTAGACATTTCTTTCAGAAGTTATTCTCCCACTCAGTATTAACTCTCTGTCTTCGTCAGTGATACTCTACATTTCCCTCATGCTCAGTAGTTACTCTCCCATTTAGTGGTAACTCTCTGTCTTCATCAGTGTTACTCTACGTTTCCCTCATTAATTACTCTTCCACTCAAACTTCTCTGGGATTGGTGGAAAAAGGAGAGAAAACTTCGACTGAAATACGATAAGGGTGAGTTAAAAGTTTCAAACCCGCTTAAAACGACGACACTAACTTGGTGCTATATCACTACATAATATGTGCAAGGCAAATTTCTGGAGAATCGAGTATTTTTTTGTAATAATTTGAATTATAAAGCGACAAAATATTATGTGTTCTCTCTTGGTTTGATTTTTTGAACAACAGCCAGTAATTTTAGAAGGTAAACGGTCAAGCAAAGTGTGCAAGGTCGTTGATGGAGTATTCTATGTGAAATCCTCTCACCGGTCTGAGCCCCACCAACTTAACATCAGAGGACCAACTTGCACCTGCAGACATATTTTTTCCTTTTCACCCTTTTGAAAAAAGGCAATAGTGAAAGGTTACGAATGGAGGTTTTGGCAGAAAAACGTGGATTTTGGAGATCGCGTTAGGATTGCTTGCGGAGATGTGATGTATAGATAGCCTGTGATCTATGAATGCGCGGCGCGACTGTGTTTTAATGTATATGATGCATGTAATGTATAATATTACTATTAGGTAATACCCCCAATTTGTACGTGGCACGCGTAGTGTATTGATATGTACATGAGTATAGTTTACCTTTGCTGATAATTTCTTGAATTACAGATACAAGTTAAGTTCTACGGCAATTGAACTAAATTTCAAGTGTTTCCCGTATTTGATGCATAATTTATCAATATTAATATCATGAAGATTGAAGTGAGCTGATTGGAGCTTATACTTAAATGTATAGTAAATGTGAAATGGAAATCTAGCGTCCGCCAAAACGAAAAAACGGGCGCAATTCTTGTTCAAGCTATTGATGATGGTTTAATGAAATGCAATGGGAGGACCTACCTGAAGATTAGGTCCTTCGTAAAAGATAAAGGTCTGTTAAATTGATCTGTATGCATGTTTACATTCCCATTTGAATAGACAAGACAAAATTGAGGTTCATAACTCGTTCATGTGCTATGGCAGTGCGTCCGCGTCGATGTAGGAGGTGTGGAGCCTGCTAGTAGAGAAAATATGAAGTTTCCAACAGTAAATATTATTATCAATATCAAAGGCAGGGCATTACTTCGACCTCCGAGGCGAGGTATCCGTGTGGACCCTGGTTGTTATAAGGGTTGGAAAGACAAAGATAATTTTGTCTGTTAAAGTGGGTTATCACTCTCTGCCATCAGACTCATAAATCACATCTCCGCAGGGTTTGCCAGGTTTTCCCTATTGCTTTGCTTCCAATTCTTATAATAGTCAAAATATAAAATCCGATATTATTTTTGCAGGAAGTGATATTGGGATATGGCCAGCTGATGCAGATGTAAACAAATGCTGCGATTATCCAGCATCAGAAGACGAGGATGAAGAAGTAGAAGATGATGAGGTTGGAGGAAATTGGGATAAAAGAAAGAAGAAACGGGACATAGACTATAAAGGAGATTGGCGGGAGCTTTCAAACAGAATAACTTCCTTCGTTAATGATCCTGAGTTTGACGTGATGGACGATGATGTCCGTGCATTATTATATAAGAAACTGTCAGATACCGTCAATGATGTGGCATCCTATATTTACAAAAGAAACTAAATTAGATAACATAGATAAGATAATGTTTGATAATATATTACTTTAAAAGCCGTGCAATCATTTTAGATATTAGATATTAAACTAACCATATTATGATATTCTCCGTCTAACTATTCGATCTGTCTCCATCTCACTATTCAATCGGTCTCAACGTTCATTCTCTGTTTAACTATTCAATCTCTGTCTCAGTGTTCATTTTCTTGTTTAACTATTCAATCTTTGTCTCAGCGTTCATTCTCTGTCTCGACATTATTCTCCGTCTGACTATTTAATCTGTCTCAATGTTCATTCTCTGTCTCGACGTTCATTCTCCGTCTCACTATTCAATCTGTCTCAATGTTCATTCTCTGTCTCGACGTTCATTCTCCGTCTCACTATTCAATCTGTCTCGACGTTCATTATTTGTTTAACTATTCAATCTCTTTCTCAGTGATCATTCTTTGTTTAACTATTAAATCACTGTTCATTCCTGTCTCGACGTTAATTCTCCGTCTCATTATTCAATCTCTGCATCAGTGTTCATTCTCTATTTTAGAGTCAATTCCCTGTCTTACCTATCAATCTTTCTCGGTGTTCATTCCCTGTCTGACTGTTCAATTTCTGTCTCACTGTCCATTCTCTGTCTCGCTGTTCAATCTTCGTGTTTCTTTCAAAGTGTTACAGTGACAAGGAGACCGAATGATATTGTTGTAAAATAAAAAGCTTGTCCGCTTTAGTTATAGTGATATTAAAACATATACAACACCATGTATTATGAAATTTTAGATTTTGTTACAAAATATGGACAGTGAATTTGATGTTGTTGTCTAATAATACAAGACGTGAGGCGCGGCGACATTATAAATTTTAGAATTGCCCGCGCATTTTAGTACTTTGCCGCGGCTCCACTAGTATTTAACGTTTACCATTGTTAATGGTCTGACCCGGCGCGCGCTACTTCGTAGCACTTGCCATCGAAGAAATTTAGACGAGTAACATCCGTCAAGTTCAAGATTAAAATTGGAGGTTTAAACTATTGTATGATTTTGGCTTGGTCTCGCCATGCATAGGCCAAATCAAGTGCAGATTTTTGTTTGTGTTTTTAAACCCTTTTTTAAACCCTTTTTAACAAATGACTTTAAATGGTCTTTTACCAATTCGCTCGGGCTAATATTAAATACTAGTGGACTCTATGCAGGTCTCCCAGCGCCCCTAATTTTACTGATCTGGAGGTCACATTTTATTGAGCCAGTACAGGCTAATATTAAATACTAGTGGACTCTATGCAGGTCTCCCAGCGCCCCTAATTTTACTGATCTGGAGGTCACATTTTATTGAGCCAGTACAGGCTAATATTAAATACTAGTGGACTCTATGCAGCTCTCCCAGAGCCCCTAATTTTACTGATCTGGAGGTCACATTTTATTGAGCCTATGCAGTATATGCAATTCTGTTTTAGACATTGAATTTATTTAAAAAAGGTCTCACCCTCTAAAAAACTCCCATCGGAAATGTTTCTATTAATTTCACATTGGAAAACTTTTCATTGTGTTTGACCTCAACTTAGATGTATTTGTTTTTTTTCTATTTTTAGCAACTCCAATTCTCTTTTGTAGAGCTGATTCTTGTTATATAATATAGAAGTACACTCGATACAGTTATCTTATATAAGAAAATATATTGGACTGCCAAACTACTGGTATATCATTATATTGGGAAGAAAAATAATACAAGTTAGTATTCTTTTAAAAATAACTGTTCATAACATTTACTTCATTTTAGGTATGTGTGTGAAACATCAGAACTGAATAATGGACCAGAGAATTCAGAGATCTTTGGTTACCTGTTTCCGGTTTCGTCGGTTCACATTGCTGCGTTCCTGACCTAGCTTCGCCTGCATCATTAGATCATATTATAATATGCATTATAGACTATAGTTATACAGCTTGAATTTGAAAGAGCTACATGGTCGTTGTTTCGAGTGCTTTTTCATCTGCTGTGACAGACAGCATCAACGGTTACCAACATAATAGGTGCATTGCAAGTTGTGCAATGCTGAATGCATACGTTTCGTCAGTGACTTCCTTCTGCCTCATTGATGCGAAACTGATAATAAACATGCAAGAGAATACAGCTATAGTTACTCTGGACTGCCATGATAGAAACATTGAAACAGATATTGACTGGCTTTTGGTATGTAAGACGTAAGTATTGAAACCTCAAATTGTTATGATCAGGTTCAACATACTTGCTATGATCCTCTATATAATAATATTAATATATTACATAAAATATAATATATTACATTGTATATTAATCTTGATATAAAATCCTCGCTTTTTGATGATTGCAAGATGTTCTGTTTCGTTGTAACCTTGTCCCCTACATAATTATATAATACATCATTACTTCCATTTTTCAGGTTTTTATTGGTGTTGCAAACGATGAAACGATCACTAAATTCTGTGCCTATGTGAGATTTGTTGGTTCATCGAATAACATCAAACTTACAGTGTGAGTAATTCAACAATCATGCACTTCATATTTTATGTCCCCCTACTCATTGTTCACTCTCTGTCTTCATCAGTGTTACTCTACATTTCTCTCAGTAATTACTCTCCCACTCAGTATTAACTCTCTGTCTTCATCAGTGTAACTCTACATTTCTCTCAGTAGTTATTCTCCCACTCAGTATCAACTCTCTGTCTTCATCAGTGTAACTCTACATTTCTCTCAGTAGTTATTCTCCCACTCAGTATTAACTCTCTGTCTTCATCAGTGTTTCTCTACATTTCTCTCAGCAGTTATTCTTCCACTCAGTATTAACTCTCTGTCTTCGTCAGTGTTACTCTTTATTTCCCTCAGTAGCTACCCTCCCACTCAGTATTAACTCTCTGTCTTCATCAGTGTAACTCTACATTTCTCTCAGTAGTTACTCTTCCACTCAGTTTTAACTCTCTGTCGTCATCAGTGTTACTCTACATTTCTCTCAACTTAGTTATTCTCCCACTCAGTATTAACTCTCTGTCTTTGTCAGTGTTACTCTATATTTACCTCAGTAGTTACTCTCACACTGAGAGTTAACTCTCTGTCTTCGTCAGTGTTACTCTATATTTTGCTCAGTAGTTATTCTCCCACTCAGTATTAACTCTCTGTCTTCGTCAGTATTACTCTACATTTCCCTCAGTAGTTATTCTCCCACTCAGTATTAACTCTCTGTCTTCGTCAGTGTTACTCTACATTTCGCTCAGTAGTTATTCTCCCAGTTCCCACTTAGTATCAACTCTCTGTCTTCATCAGTGTTACTCTACATTTCTCTCAGTAGTTATTCTCCCACTCAGTGTTAAATCTCTGTCTTCATCAGTGTTACTCTAGACATTTCCCTCAGTAGTTATTCTCCCACTCAGTATTAACTCTCTGTCTTCATCAGTGTTACTCTACATTTCTCTCAGCAGTTATTCTTTCACTCAGTAGCAACTCTCTGTCTTCGTCAGTGTTACTCTATATTTAGCTCAGTAGTTATTCTCCCACTCAGTATTAACTCTCTGTCTTCATCAGTGTTACTCTAGACATTTCCTTCAGAAGTTATTCTCCCACTCAGTATTAACTCTCTGTCTTCGTCAGTGTTACTCTACATTTCGCTCAGTAGTTATTCTTCCGCTCAGTATCAACTCTCTGTCTTCATCAGTGTTATTCTACATTTCCCTCAGTAGTTATTCTCCCACTCAGTGTTAAATCTCTGTCTTCATCAGTGTTACTCTAGACATTTCCCTCAGTAATTATTCTCCCACTCAGTATCAACTCTCTGTCTTCATCAGTGTTATTCTACATTTCCTTCAGTAGTTATTCTCCCACTCAGTGTTAAATCTCTGTCTTCATCAGTGTTACTCTAGACATTTCCCTCAGTAATTATTCTCCCACTCAGTATCAACTGTCTGTCTTCATCAGTGTAACTCTACATTTCTCTCAGTAGTTATTCTCCCACTCAGTATTAACTCTCTGTCTTCATCAGTGTTACTCTACATTTCTCTCAGCAGTTATTCTTCCACTCAGTATTAACTCTCTGTCTTCGTCAGTGTTACTCTATATTTAGCTCAGTAGTTATTCTCCCACTCAGTATTAACTCTCTGTCTTCATCTTCTTCTTCGTAGAGGGCAGTGGTCTTTACTACTAAGGAATAGATCAAAACCACTATAAGATGGAGCATTGAAGCCCTGTGCTTACCCCGGTACAGTTAATCTGTGAAGAAAGCAAGGTTAAGCCTTGTCCTCTCCACATTTGGTAAAACGTTTTGTTGCTTGTATGAAGCCGATGATCCTTGGTAATGAGAACTTGTCCACTATATCTGTCACACTGAGGTAGAAGGAGTCAAAAGTATCCTCCTCGCTGGTAAGACCATTTCGGGCACTGACCAATAAAGTGGTTCATTGTCTCCTCTTTCATGAGACAGTGTGGACAGGTTTTAGGGACCGTTGTACTTATTGATATGGTAGTTTAGTTCACAATGTCCCGTGAGGAATTGTGTTGCTGTTCTTGTGCTCTCTTTGCCAAGTTTCGGGATTGATCTGGCGAACTTTTGTCTCCATACTCGTTTAAAGTGAGTGTGGGGTAAAGTTCTCCATCTTTCCCTCATCTTCCGATGACTTATACTCCGCAGTGCTCCCTTCCATAATACTTTTGGTATTGGTAGTTGCACTTGAGCGGAGTCCAGATTGTCGGAGCCTTTTTTGGCAAGAGAGTCTGCCTTTTCGTTGCCATCGTAGCCTTTGTGAGCTGGTATCCATCGTAGTTTAGGACTTGATTGTCCATTGCTAGTTGGTTGAGCTCACTTATAGCCGTGCTGGTGCTTTTAGATTTGACTTTGATGTTGCTCATTGCCATTATTGTCGCCTGGCTATCGCAGTTTATGTTTATTTTTCTAGTTTTGGTCCCAGATTCCCGTAATATTTTTGCCGCAGTGCCTACGGCAAAGGTTTCGGCCTGGAAGACGGTTGAGTTGATTCCTTGGTGGTATGACTCCTCACATGTGGGGTGTCGTTGTCCACAATGTACACTCCTGCTCCAACTTTTTCATTCATTTTGGAGCCGTCTGTGTAACATTGTATAGTATTGGTGTCATTCTCGATTACCTCATACTCAGGGAGTCGGGGAATTTCTGTGTTGAAACCAATGTCAACATTCAGTGATGTTGTCTGTTGATCTTGTCCTTCAGAGTTGAGACTGATAGCCTTTAGCTTTAGTAACTGTTCATTAAGTTTTGTGTGGGTGGTTAGGTTGCCCTTCTTGTTTACCATCGGCTCATATATCCACTGGTTGTTGGATTTGAGTCTGAGAACTCTGCTGCTTCCTCTTCCATCACCAGATCAATAGGGATGATTCCGGTGATGATGTCTATACTAGTGCTGCTCCAGGAGTCGATGGTAACCCTCCTGTTATGAGGATGTTCCCCAGCCGCTGTACACTGCTAAGGTTTGTTAGGTTATGTTTTTTGGACACACCATTGAGCCAGATTGTCGCAGCGTATGTCAGAGAAGGTCTGACAACGGCTGTATAATATATATATACTCTGTCTTCATCAGTGTTACTCTAGACATTTCCTTCAGAAGTTATTCTCCCACTCAGTATTAACTCTCTGTCTTCGTCAGTGTTACTCTACATTTCGCTCAGTAGTTATTCTTCCGCTCAGTATCAACTCTCTGTCTTCATCAGTGTTATTCTACATTTCCCTCAGTAGGTATTCTCCCACTCAGTGTTAAATCTCTGTCTTCATCAATGTTACTCTAGACATTTCTCTTAGTAATTATTCTCCCACTCAGTATCAACTCTCTGTCTTCATCAGTGTAACTCTACATTTCTCTCAGTAGTTATTCTCCCACTCAGTATTAACTCTCTGTCTTCATCAGTGTTACTCTACATTTCTCTCAGCAGTTATTCTTCCACTCAGTATTAACTCTCTGCCTTCGTCAGTGTTACTCTATATTTCCCTCAGTAGTTATTCTCCCAATCAGTGTTAACTCTCTATCTTCATCAGTATTACTCTAGACATTTCCTTCAGAAGTTATTCTCCCACACAGTATTAAAGTATTAACTCTCTGTCTTCGTCAGTGTTACTCTATGTTTCCCTCAGTAGTTACTTTTCCACTCAGTGTTAACTCTATATCTTCATCAGTGTTACTCTAGACATTCCTTCAGTAGTTATTCTCCCACTCAGTATTAACTCTCTGCCTTCATCAGTGTTAATCTACATTTCCCTCAGTAGTTACTCTCTCATTTAGTGGTAACTCTCTGTCTTCATCAGTGTTACTCTAGACATTTCCCTCAGTAATTATTCTCCGACTCAGTATCAACTCTCTGTCTTCATCAGTGTAACTCTACATTTCTCTCAGTAGTTATTCTCCCACTCAGTATTAACTCTCTGTCTTCATCAGTGTTACTCTACATTTCTCTCAGCAGTTATTGTTCCACTCAGTATTAACTCTCTGTCTTCATCAGTGTTACTCTACATTTCTCTCAGCAGTTATTGTTCCACTCAGTATTAACTCTCTGACAAGTGACAAGTAGTAACGCTCTAGTTCTCTTCAAAACAGTAGACCAAGGGTTTCCTTCTCCTGAGAACAGTAAGTACTCTCTGTCTTCGTCAGTGTTACTCTATATTTAGCTCAGTAGTTATTCTCCTTACTACATTATATGTGCAAGGCAAATTTCTGGAGAATCGAGTATTTTTGTAGTAATAATTTGAATTATAAAGCGACAAAATATTATGTGTTCTCTCTTGGTTTGATTTTTTGAATAACAGCCAGTAATGTTAGAAGGTAAACGGTCAAGCAAAGTGTGCAAGGTCGTTGATGGAGTATTCCATGTGAAATCCTCTCACCAGTCTGAGCCCCACCAACTGAACATCAGAGGACCATCTTGCACCTGCAGAAACTTCAGCAGGACTCACATCCCCTGCAGACATATTTTTCAAGCTATCGATGATGGTTTAATGAAATGGGAGGACCTACCTGAAGATTACAGAAACATACCGTTCTTCGTAAAAGATAAAGGTCTGTTAAATTGATCTGTATGCATGTTTACATTCCAATTTGAATAGACAAGACAAAATTGAGGTTCATAACTCGTTCATGTGCTATGGCCGTGCGTCCGCGTCGATGTAGGAGGTGTGGAGCCTGCTTGTAGAGAAAATATGAAGTTTCCTACAGTAAATATTATTATCAATATCAAAGGCAGGGCATTACTTCGACCTCCGAGGCGAGGTATCCGTGTGGACTCTGGTTGTTATCAGGGTTGGAAAGACAAAGATAATTTTGTCTGTTAAAGTGGGTTATCACTCTCTGCCATCAGAGTCATAAATCACATCTCCGCAGGGTTTGCAAGGTTTTCCCTATTGCTTTGCTTCCAATTCTTATAATAGTCAAAATATAAAATCCGATATTATTTTTGCAGGAAGTGATATTGGGATATGGCCAGCTGATGCAGATGTAAACAAATGCTGCGATTATCCAGCATCAGAAGACGAGGATGAAGAAGTAGAAGATGATGAGGTTGGAGGAAATGGGGATAAAAGAAAGAAGAAACGGGACATAGACTATATAAAGGAGATTGGCGGGAGCTTTCAAACAGAATAACTTCCTTCGTTAATGATCCCGAGTTTGACGTGATGGACGATGATGTCCGTGCATTATTATATAAGAAACTGTCAGATACCGCCAATGATGTGGCATCCTATATTTACAAAAGAAACTAATATAGATAACATAGATAAGATTATGGATGCTGACTAAGCTTACCTGATCCTCTCCAACTTGTATTAGTACACTACTTCATTCACACCAGTCATTTCACTACATTAAACTGATTGAGGTTATGCCCTTTGTACATGCTGAAGCGATATGCTATGATGAGTGGAATATGAGTTAGGATCAGTTTGGTCCGTTTCATGGCAAAAACATTTATTGATTTTGTATTAACCCTTCGGGGCTTGCGTGACCCTTATCATAGAACTGGTTTTCAGGACTGGCAGTCTGACCTATTGCCTTGCCAGCATAGGTGTACTTATATAGTTTTGCATGGTTCAGTTGCATAGTAGTGTCCGAATTGCACTGATTCTAGCCCGAGTAGTGTTCGAAAGGGCGCCCTGTTTTGACATACCTCCTGAGCCGGTACTCATTTCCTCTCTGAGCTAGCTAGTGTATATCAGTTTCTTGTTGGTGTTTTGTCTGTGTTTGTTTGTCCGTAGTAGGAATTTACTGTAACTTTGGAGACTGGGCGCAGTAATGTCCCAGAGGGTTTGTAACATCATGGATGCTGACTAAGCTTACCTGATCCTCTCCAACTTGTATTAGTACACTACTTCATTCACACCAGTCATTTCACTACATTAAACTGATTGAGGTTATGCCCTTTGTACATGCTGAAGCGATATGCTATGATGAGTGGAATATGAGTTAGGATCAGTTTGGTCCGTTTCATGGCAAAAACATTTATTGATTTTGTATTAACCCTTCGGGGCTTGCGTGACCCTTATCATAGAACTGGTTTTCAGGACTGGCAGTCTGACCTATTGCCTTGCCAGCATAGGTGTACTTATATAGTTTTGCATGGTTCAGTTGCATAGTAGTGTCCGAATTGCACTGATTCTAGCCCGAGTAGTGTTCGAAAGGGCGCCCTGTTTTGACATACCTCCTGAGCCGGTACTCATTTCCTCTCTGAGCTAGCTAGTGTATATCAGTTTCTTGTTGGTGTTTTGTCTGTGTTTGTTTGTCCGTAGTAGGAATTTACTGTAACTTTGGAGACTGGGCGCAGTAATGTCCCAGAGGGTTTGTAACATCATGGATGCTGACTAAGCTTGCCTGATCCTCTCCAACTTGTATTAGTACACTACTTCATTCACACCAGTCATTTCACTACATTAAACTGATTGAGGTTATGCCCTTTGTACATGCTGAAGCGATATGCTATGATGAGTGGAATATGAGTTAGGATCAGTTTGGTCCGTTTCATGGCAAAAACATTTATAGATAAGATTATGTTTGATAATATATTACTTTAAAAGCCGTGCAATCATTTTAGATATTAGATATTAAACTAACCATATTATGATATTCTCCGTCTAACTATTCGATCTGTCACCATCTCACTATTCAATCTGTCTCAACGTTCATTCTCTGTTTAACTATTCAATCTCTGTCTCAGTGTTCATTTTCTTGTTTAACTATTCAATCTTTGTCTCAGCGTTCATTCTCTGTCTCGACATTCATTTTCCGTCTGACTATTCAATCTGTCTCAATGTTCATTCTCTGTCTCGACGTTCATTCTGCGTCTCACTATTCAATCTGTCTCAATGTTCATTCTCTGTCTCGACGTTCATTCTCCGTCTCAATATTCAATCTGTCTCAACGTTCATTATGTGTTTAACTATTCAATCTCTTTCTCAGTGATCATTTTCTGTTTAACTATTAAATCACTGTTCATTCCTGTCTCGACGTTAATTCTCCGTCTCATTATTCAATCTCTGCATCAGTGTTCATTCTCTATTTTAGAGTTAATTCCCTGTCTTACCTTTCAATCTTTCTCGGTGTTCATTCTCTGTCTGACTGTTCAATTTCTGTCTCACTGTCCATTCTCTGTCTCGCTGTTCAATCTTCGTGTTTCTTTCAAAGTGTTACAGTGACAAGGAGACCGAATGATATTGTTGTAAAATAAAAAGCTTGTCCGCTTTAGTTATAGTGATATTAAAACATATACAACACCATGTATTATGAAATTTTAGATTTTGTTACAAAATATGGACAGTGAATTTGATGTTGTTGTCTAATGAGTTGGACTTTCTGTTCCATTTGTTCCGCGGAACAATATTTGACGAAAGTCGATTATCTTGAGATCCTACTGATAAATTTTCTTTAAACTTTCCAGATAGTTGTATGGCTATGAGACGGATATTCTGTGCGATTTTGGGCGAATTTCTATGTGCCAAACCTGAGATATGACTTCAAACACAAGAAAATATCTCAAAGTGGCGGTTTCTAGCGGAACGCAGGCACATATTTTGAGATCCTACTGATAAATTTTCTTTAAACTTTCTAGATAGTTGTATGGCAGTAAGACAGATTTTCTGTGCGATTTTGGGCGAATTTCTATATGCCAAACCTGAGATATGACTTCAAACACAAGAAAATATCTCAAATTGGCGCGTTTTAGCGGAACGCAGGCACATATTTCGAGATCCTACTGATAAATTTTCTTTAAATTTTCCAGATAGTTGTATGGCTATAAGCCAGATAATCTGAGCAAGTTTGGGCGAATTTCTATGTGCCAAACTTGAGATATGACTTCAAACACAAGAAAATATCTCAAAATGGCGGTTTCGGAACGATATTTGACGAAAGTCGATTATTTTGAGATCCTACTGATAAATTTTCTTTAAACTTTCCAGATAGTTGTATGGCTATGAAACGGATATTCTGTGCGATTTTGGGCGAATTTCTATGTGCCAAACTTGAGATATGACTTCAAACACAAGAAAATATCTCAAAATGGCGGTTTCTAGCGGAACGCAGGCACATATTTCGAGATCCTACTGATAAATTTTCTTTAAATTTTCCAGATAGTTGTATGGCTATAAGACAGATAATCTGAGCAAGTTTGGGCAAATTTCTATGTGCCAAACTTGAGATATGACTTCAAACTCATGAAAACATCTCAAATTGGTGGTTTCGGAACGATATTTGACGAAAATCGATTATTTCGAGATCCTACTGATAAATTTTCTTTAAATTTTCCAGATAGTTGTATGGCTATAAGCCAGATAATCTGAGCAAGTTTGGGCGAATTTCTATGTGCCAAACTTGAGATATGACTTCAAACACAAGAAAATATCTCAAAATGGCGGTTTCGGAACGATATTTGACGAAAGTCGATTATTTGAGATCCTACTGATAAATTTTCTTTAAACTTTCCAGATAGTTGTATGGCTATGAAACGGATATTCTGTGCGATTTTGGGCGAATTTCTATGTGCCAAACCTGAGATATGACTTCAAACACAAGAAAATATCTCAAAATGGCGGTTTCTAGCGGAACGCAGGCACATATTTCGAGATCCTACTGATAAATTTTCTTTAAACTTTCTAGATAGTTGTATGGCTGTGAGACAGATATTCTGTGCGATTTTGGGCGAATTTCTATGTGCCAAACCTGAGATATGACTTCAAACACAAGAAAATATCTCAAATTGGCGCTTTTTAGCGGAACGCAGGCACATATTTCGAGATCCTACTGATAACTTTTCTTTAAATTTTCCAGATAGTTGTATGGCTATAAGACAGATAATCTGAGCAAGTTTGGGCGAATTTCTATGTGCCAAACTTGAGATATGACTTCAAACTCATGAAAACATCTCAAATTGGCGGTTTCGGAACAATATTTGACGAAAGTCAATTATTTTGAGATCCTACTGATAGATTTTCTTTGAACTTTCCAGATAGTTGTATGGCTATGAGACGGATAATCTGAGCAAGTTTGGGCGAATTTCTATGTGCCAAACTTGAGATATGACTTCAAACACAAGAAAATATCTCAAAATGGCGGTTTCTAGCGGAACGCAGGCACATATTTCGAGATCCTACTGATAAATTTTCTTTAAACTTTCTAGATAGTTGTATGGCTGTGAGACAGATATTCTGTGCGATTTTGGGCGAATTTCTATGTGCCAAACCTGAGATATGACTTCAAACACAAGAAAATATCTCAAATTGGCGCGTTTCTAGCGGAACGCAGGCACATATTTCGAGATCCTACTGATAAATTTTCTTTAAATTTTCCAGATAGTTGTATGGCTATAAGACAGATAATCTGAGCAAGTTTGGGCAAATTTCTATGTGCCAAACTTGAGATATGACTTCAAACTCATGAAAACATCTCAAATTGGTGGTTTCGGAACGATATTTGACGAAAATCGATTATTTCGAGATCCTACTGATAAATTTTCTTTAAATTTTCCAGATAGTTGTATGGCTATAAGCCAGATAATCTGAGCAAGTTTGGGCGAATTTCTATGTGCCAAACTTGAGATATGACTTCAAACACAAGAAAATATCTCAAAATGGCGGTTTCGGAACGATATTTGACGAAAGTCGATTATTTTGAGATCCTACTGATAAATTTTCTTTAAACTTTCCAGATAGTTGTATGGCTATGAAACGGATATTCTGTGCGATTTTGGGCGAATTTCTATGTGCCAAACTTGAGATATGACTTCAAACACAAGAAAATATCTCAAAATGGCGGTTTCTAGCGGAACGCAGGCACATATTTCGAGATCCTACTGATAAATTTTCTTTAAACTTTCCAGATAGTTGTATGGCTGTGAGACAGATATTCTGTGCGATTTTGGGCGAATTTCTATGTGCCAAACCTAAGATATGACTTCAAACACAAGAAAATATCTCAAAGTGGCGGTTTCTAGCGGAACGCAGGCACATATTTCGAGATCCTACTGATAAATTTTCTTTAAATTTTCCAGATAGTTGTATGGCTATGAGACAGATAATCTGAGCAAGTTTGGGCGAATTTCTATGTGCCAAACTTGAGATATGACTTCAAACTCATGAAAACATCTCAAATTGGCGGTTTCGGAACGATATTTGACGAAAGTCGATTATTTTGAGATCCTACTGATAAATTTTCTTGAAACTTTCCAGATAGTTGTATGGCTATGAGACAGATAATCTGAGCAAGTTTGGGCGAATTTCTATGTGCCAAACCTGAGATATGACTTCAAACACAAGAAAATATCTCAAAATGGCGGTTTCTAGCGGAACGCAGGCACATATTTCGAGATCCTACTGATAAATTTTCTTTAAACTTTCCAGATAGTTGTATGGCTGTGAGACAGATATTCTGTGCGATTTTGGGCGAATTTCTATGTGCCAAACCTGAGATATGACTTCAAACACAAGAAAATATCTCAAATTAGCGCGTTTTAGTGGAACGCAGACACATATTTCGAGATCTTATACTGATACATTTTCTTTAAACTTTCCAGATATTTGTATGGCTATAACAGTCCCCCATTCCTCTTCCTCCTTCTCCTCCTCAGTCCTCCTCCTCCTTCTCCTCCTCAGTCTTCCTCCTCCTTCTCCTCCTCAGTCCTACTCCTCCTCCTCCTCAGTCCTCTTCCTCCTCATTCTCCTCTTCAGTCCTCCTCATCCTCCTCTTCCTCTTGATTATCTGTCTCATAGCCCTACAATTATCTGGAAAGGGGGATCATGTTTTGTGCCCGTTTCTGTCCGTTCGGTACCCTTTATTTTCAAAACGGACAAAAAGTATGGCGAACAAAAACAGAATAAAACGGACAAAAACGGAACAAAGATGTTATGGAAAAAGGGAAAAATGGAAATAACATTTATATGCTTCCTCCTCCTCCTCCTCCTCCTCCTCCTCCTTCTCCTCCTCTCCCTCATGTCCGTCCTCCTCCTCCTCCTCCTCCTCCTCTTCCTCCTCCTTCTCAGTCCTCCTCCTCAGTCTTCCTCCTCCTCAGACATCATCCTCCTCCTCCTCCTCGGTCCTCCTCCTCCTCGTCAGTCCTTCTCCTCCTCCTCATCAGTCCTCCTCCTTCTCCTCCTTCTATTCCTCCTCCTCAGTCCTCCTCAGTCCTCCTCAGTCCTCCTTCTCCTCCTCCTTCTCCTCCTCCTCCTCTTCCTCATCCTCCTTCTCTTCCTCCTGTGTCCTCATCCTCCCCCTCCTTCTGAGTCCTCTTCCTGAGTCCTCCTGAGTCCTCCTCCATCTGAGTCCTTCTGATTCCTCCTCCTCCTGAGTCCACACTCTCCTGAGTCCTCTTCCTCCTCCACCTCCTCCACTTCCTCGTCCTCTTCAGTCCTCCTCCTCCTTCTGAGTCTACCTTCTCCTACACTTCCTCTTCCTCCTCAGTCTTCCTCAGTCCTCCTCCTCCTCTTCAGTCCTCCTCCTCCTCAGTCATCATCCTCCTCCTCAGTACTCCTCCTCCTCCTCGTCAGTCCTCCTCCTCCTCCTCCTCCTCCTCCTCCTCCTCCTCCTCCTCCTCCTCCTCCACCTCAGTCCTCAGTCCTCCTCCTCTTCCTCCTTCCTCCTCAGTCCTCCTCCTCCTTCTCCTCCTCATCAGTACTCCTCCTAAGTCTTTCTCCTCATCCTCAGTCCTATTCCTCCTCAGTCCTCCTCCTCCTCAGTCCTCCTCCTCAGTCCTCTTCTCCTCATTCTCCTCTTCCTCTTGATTATCTGTCTCATAGCCATACAACTATCTGGAAAGGGGGATCATGTTTTGTGTCCGTTTTTGTCCGTTCGGTACCCTTTATTTTCAAAATGGACAAAAAGTAGGGCGAACAAAAACATAATAAAACGGACAAAAACGGAACAAAAATGTTATGAAAAAATGGAAATAACATTTAGTCTATGCTTCCTCCTCCTCCTTTTCCTCCTCCTCCTCCTCCTCCTCCTCCTCCTCCTCCTCCTCCTCCTCCTCTCCCTCATGCCCCTCCTACTCCTCCTCCTCTTCCTCCTCCTCCTCAGTCCTCCTCCTCAGTCTTCCTCCTCCTCAGTCATCATCCTCTTCCTCCTCAGTCCTCAGCTCCTCCTCGTCAATCCTTCTCCTTCTCCTCATCAGTCCTCCTCCTTCTCTTCTTCCTCCTCCTCAGTCTTCCTTCTCCTCCTCCTCCTCTTCCTCCTCCTCCTCCTCAGTTCTCCTCCTCATCGTCAGTCCTTCTCCTCCTCATCAGTCCTCCTCCTCCTCCTCCTCCTCAGTCTTCCTCATTCTCCTCGTCCTTCTCCTCCCCCTCCTTCTTATCAATCCTCTTCCTCAGTCCTCCTCAGTCCTACTCCTCTTCCTCCTCCTCCTCCTCCTCAGTCCTCTTCAGGAGGAGTATGAGGGGCATGAGGGAGAGGAGGAGGAGGAGGAGGAGGAAGCATCTAAATGTTATTTCCATTTTTCATAACATTTTTGTTCCGTTTTTGTCCGTTTTATTATGTTTTTGTTCGCCCTACTTTTTGTCCATTTTGAAAATAAAGGGTACCGAACGGACAAAAACGGACACAAAACATGATCCCCCTTTCCAGATAGTTGTATGGCTATGAGACAGATAATCAAGAGGAAGAGGAGAATGAGGAGGAAGAGGACTGAGGAGGAGGACTGAGGAGGAGGAGGACTGAGGAGGAATAGGACTGAGGATGAGGAGAAAGACTTAGGAGGAGTACTGATGAGGAGGAGAAGGAGGACTGAGGAGGAGAAGGAGGAAGAGGAGGAGGACTGAGGTGGAGGAGGAGGAGGAGGAGGAGGAGGAGGAGGAGGAGGAGGAGGAGGATAAGGACTGACGAGGAGGAGGAGGAGTACTGAGGAGGAGGATGATGACTGAGGAGGAGGAGGACTGAGGAGGAGGAGGAGGAGGACTGAGGAAGACTGAGGAGGAAGAGGAAGTGTAGGAGAAGGTAGACTCAGAAGGAGGAGGAGGACTGAAGAGGACGAGGAAGTGGAGGAGGAAGAGGACTCAGGAGAGTTTGGACTCAGGAGGAGGAGGAATCAGGAGGACTCAGATGGAGGAGGACTCCTCCTCCTCAGTCCTCCTCCTCATCGTCAGTCCTTCTCTTCCTCATCAGTCCTCCTCCTCCTCCTCCTCCTCAGTCCTCCTCATTCTGCTCGTCCTCCTCCTCTTCTTCAGTCCTCCTCTTGCAGTCCTCCTCCTTCTCCTCCCCCTCCTTCTTATCAATCCTCTTCCTCAGTCCTCCTCAGTCCTACTCCTCTTCCTCCTCCTCCTCCTCAGTCCTCCTCCTCAGTCTTCCTCATCCTCCTCCTCCTCTTCCTCCTCAGTCCTCCTCCTCCTGAGTCCTCCCGAGTCCATCTCCTCCACATCCTCCACTTCCTCCTCCTCCTCAGTCCTCCTCCTTCTTCTGAGTCCACCTCCTCCTACACCTCCTCCTCCTCCTCAGTCTTCCTCAGTCCTCCTCTCCCTCCTCAGTCCTCCTCCTCCTCCTCCTCCTATAGCCATGTATCTGGAAAGTTTTAAAAATTCTATCATTTAGATCTCCAAATATATGCCTTTGTTCCGCTAAAAACCGCCAATTCGGAGATATTTTCTTGTGTTTGAAGTCATATCTCAAGTTCGGCACATAGAAACTCGACCAAAATCACACAGATTATCCGTCTCATAGCCATACAACTATCTGGAAAGTTTAAAGAAAATTTATCAGTAGGATCTCGAAATATGTGCCTGCGTTCCTCTAGAAACCGCCAATTTGGAGATATTTTCTTGTGTTTGAAGTCATATCTCAAGTTTAACATATAAAAATTCTCCCAAACTCTCACACATTATCCGTCATATAGCCATGTAACTATCTGGAAAGTTTAAAGAAAATCTATTTGTCAGATCTTGAGAAAATCAAAAATATATTCTAAGTTATTCACTAAAACACTCGATTTTCGAACTTTTTATTTGGAACAGATTTGTCGAAAGTCCTTCTGTGTCTAATAATACAAAGATACAAGACGTGAGGCGCGGCGACATTATAAATTTTAGAACTGCCCGCGCATTTTGCTACTTTGCCGCGGCTCCACTAGTTTTTAACGTCTACCATTCGCTCGCGGGCCTCGCCCACCCGAAAATTTTACGTGACTTTGGCTTTTATGGTTTTGCAGCCGTACAAAACAGTTTTACATAAACCTTAATAGTTAATCCCAACCCTAACCATAACTCCGAAGCTATTCATAACCCTTCCCACATTACCACAACACACAACCGTAACCCTAATATAACCCGAGCCCTAAACAATCGAATTAATGTTTAACTAGCCTGTCACGTGACCAAAACGGTTTTTGCCCATTGTAAGTTTACAAGTACAACCTACTTGTCATACGTTGTATGACCCGCCGCGCACGAGTGCGCGGCTCCCCTGTAAGGCCAGGAACCTCGAAATTCTATATTAATTTCAATCTTCCTTTAAAGATAGTTAAATGACTTAGGCTTATAGTTAACAACCATTTCCATAGAGGATAGATAGTAAATTTGTTAACGATAGAAGTATACCAGAAATGGAATATACGTTGACGTTTAATTAACAAAAGGACACTTTCTGTGAGAAAACTATCAAATCATTTGACACGCTTGATGAGTTACCACGGACTTATGGAGGGGTTAATTAGGAGCAGAAGACCAGCCTATCACAAGACGAAGCGTGACGAGGAATGATAAGCAGGGAGTTTAAACAAGGAGGAGCAATTTCGATCGTGATGAACAATACTGCGTTCCCTGAGAAAAGGCTGGAACGGCAGAATAGACTCTGGGAAATTCAGGGAGATATAGCGGAGAACGATCGAAGGACCGATGTCTTTCTCTGTTCTCACGTCAGGACAGTCTGTTAGGTTGTGTCAGTGCAACGTGCTTGTAAACAGAGTCCAGTAAGCCGGTTCCGCCCGGGTGCTTTAACCTTTCCAGTCATAAGTATTCCAGTAAGTTCCTTGCTTTAAATTACTGTTCGCCGTTTAAATTAGTATTTTGTTTCTTATTAAAAGAGTCTGACGTGAAATTTATATTTACAATGTTTCTAGTGTTTATTCACGTACCCTCTAGGCATATAAATTCTATGCAGTACACTGAAAGTAAATTCTTACCAGGTTGCAGTGGATCCGATCCGTCACATCGAATAGATTCCCCCGTACATTAAAGAACAGTGACTATTAAGTAAGTGCAACTTGATTAGCAGAAGATACATATAATACCTCCTCCAAATAATTAATATTCCATTTATCATAAATAAATTATCCTTCATAATTGCCTAACGTTCTGCCATCTTAAATCCTCGTAAGAGTAATTTGCATGATTCTTTGATTACTTTTTATCCAAGGTTTCCGGGTAGAAGTAAGCTAACGACGATAAGATTCCCGATCTCCTTCTCACTTGAAGGACCATTATACGGATATGATTGAAGTTGTTCTCGAGGTAAATTCCTTTTCCATTAGTTTTTACATAAATAGGTTTAAGAATATCTTTGGTAATCGTAGTTCTGTGCTCTCAAAATTATATACTTTGTACAAAATTACGTTTCCGTTCCCAGGTAGAGAGACACGAACATTCCTGCTCAAACCGTGCTGCCTTTGCCGATACCTGCTAGAATAATTGATTCTCCTTCGTCAACCGAGGTAATTAGTTCAGTTATAACGTCAGCATAAAATAGTAGTTGTCTTAATAATTAAGTTGATTAAGTATTGGTTGATAGAACTGTAAGAATTGATATTTCTTTTATATTAATGTTTACGAGTGCAGGATTAAAGTAGTTTCCCGTTGGTTACGTAATAAATTGTTTCTATTGCCATAGTTAAAAGATATTGCTTTCAGACCATTCGTGACAGTCAAACTGTTGGCGGTGAGACTCAGTCAAAGACGCGTGATATTCCAGCCCTCCTACACTATTTCTAAGAGAGAGACTTATCAAAAGGTGATTGCACCAACATAGACTTAGAGTTCCCAAGCTTGAAATCCGTCCAGAAGATGAGTTACAAAAGATCTGGAGAAACCAGACTTTATGCTGGCAAAGACAGAAGTTCAGAGGTCAGAAGAGGATCATAAGGTTGCCCAAGAATTTGAGAAAAAGGAAAAGTATCTCATGAAACAAGGAAAAATACTGAAAGGCTCTAGACAGGCTGAACTTAAAAAGCTTCAGACAAAGCAAATGATCGGAAGGAATGAATTCTTCGACGAGAAACTGACAGACTCTCAAGCTGAAGAATAGAGTATCAGAAAACCTCAACCAAGAAGAACTGAAGATTTGAGACTTTCCACGCTCTAATCAATCAGCACGATTACTTAGAAGACTGTGACAGTGGAACTGAGCAACCACTTGAAAGTTCAAAACAACTCCAAACTGAGGACTCAGGAGGAAGTGGGCTGAGAGAAAACGAGCTTGATATACTCCGAGATGAGCATGAAATCGTCCCTGTCAGGAAGAACAGAGCAATTGAAAAGCAATTCAAGAAGACTGTGTTGACTTGGATGCTTTCACTTCATGGAAAGGCTAGACAAGTAATACAAGAGAAGACCTAAGTGTTAAACAGAAGCCTCAGAAATTAACCGAGACTACATCAAGAACATCAAATCCATTCTATTTTAAAGTTGGAAGACCCCCTGAATAACCAGTTCCTTGAAAGGCAATGTCAGAGTTGGACTCCTGATATCCACAAACCTGAGATATTGGAAATCGACATATGGGAGAGGTTATTGATGCCCGTCACATTAAAAGTTGAAAGTGAATTGAAGGTAAACATCACAATCAGAAGATCAGATCTGAATGCTTCCTCAACGTAAGTTTGAAGAAGACGAAGTTTGTGAAAACCCAGATTGAAGAAAACTTCCAGCACCTCAACGAGCTAAGGGACAGGAAACTCAAGTTTTTGATGAACCTCGAAATCCAACTTTACTTTCTATATAAACAATGTCATGATGGAGGTTGATCCTGGAGTATTTTTCGACCAAGTTTGATAATGCACTTCTCATCATCCTGATCTGATGTCGAGGATCACACTCACAACTCCCAAATCGTTTACACTTGGGGAAGGAAAAGTTTCCGCCATGAATAGACTGCAAGGATTATTACAAGAAACATTCATCTTTTAGAGTGGGAACATGAAAAATGCAAATGAAGCGGAAGATACTAAACTCCAAAACAAGGACGTCCAACCTTGAGGGTCACTAAGAGCTACAAGTATTCTGTTTGAGAGAAAACAATGCCAAAGGATGCAAAAGAGATACAACATGAGAGAACACTATCAAGCCAATGGGAGAACATGCACCACCGAAAATCACACGACCAAAAAGAGATTTAGACTTTGAACAGGCATCATAAAGAAAAAGAACTTATGAGTGTGCTATTCTGGAACGCCGAATTGAGGAGCTGCAGTCTCTCTGGTCGAAAGACAGCAGATATCAGAGGCCTGTGCGACAGCCTTGTTTCCAGCCGCAGATCAAGAATGCAAGACCATCGTGGCTCAAGGAAACTTGTGGATCAGGCAAAGAGCCAGAGCCAGGCAGTGGCAGTGTTTGCTTAGAGCAGAGGTGGAGAAGACTCTGGAAGAAAACTTACCCTGCAGTTAGTTTCAGCACAACGAGATTATAATGGCCTGTCATTGGACGGCAGATCAAAGCTGATTAAATATAAAGTCAAATACTGTAAAATTCGTAGTTTCAAGTTTTGTTTTTAGATGCCATCACGATTTCTTACTAAGATTTTTCCTGTACTAAAGTAATAATGTATCCTATTATGCCATCATGGTTATAACTAGTTATGTACTTTGTACGTGCATAGATTCTATGATAAGTATATTCTATACTAATATTTTATCCTAGTGTACATACATATTTAACAGAAAGTGGTCTTCAATTCTTGCATTCATTGTAATCCTTACTATTACATTTCATTTAAAAACAATTTTGCAAATTCGTAGTAATGTTTTGAGACGGCTACTAACGGTTCAGTTCACATAAGAATATAACAATTAAAACTAGAATCGAATTTTAAAATCACAGCCATCAAATTGCATTAATGCCCTAACAAACATTGTAGATAATGAAATCAAAGTGTCGATAGGAAAGGAAGCCTCAACATGATGGAATGGGTAGCGTGTGGGTTGACGGTTGAGATGATCTCTTTCTGTTGGTGAGTAGCTCTTGTGGAAATAATTTACTGGAAAGGTTTCATGCTTATTAATATGGAAACAATACCCGAGTTTGAGAAACATTCCATCTCAACGTTATGCGTAAATGAAATGAATATAATTAAAAAGTGATTGGGTATATTATTGAAACTTTGTCCAGAGGCGGGGCTAATGAGGGCGTCCAGGCGTCCGTGGACGCCTTAAACTATTAGCTGGTGGCTGTTGCTTAAAATAGAATAGTAATTAGAAATAGTGATAGGAAATAACAAATCGCAATATAAAGGTCTTCGTTTACTATCATACGTTTAAATGTAAGCCGCAATGCATGATCTCGTGAAATTTTGTGTTGTAGGGAGTCCAATCCTACCTTTGACTACTCAGCCGCGCAGTATTTAACACATAGTCATTGTAACTTTACAAAGCACATCCGTGCGCATCCACTACAGGTAATCTATTATGATTTGCCTCGATTTGGGGTGTTCCATGACCCCTTTGAAACTATTGACCTGTTGTGATACCTGTGCGCTGAGATCGTAACGTGTGGTGTCCGTTTCATCCCATGTTTAAGTTTTATGTTTTTGTTGCTGTCGCCTTAAAATGTTATCACATTAAATTTACAGAGGCCCTGTGAGTATGTAATCGTAAGTTTGGAGGATCAGCTTGAGCCGGTCCCAAGCCCCCTCCCCCCAGTCCATCGATTGACCCCCAACAAAACTGCCAGCCAGCTCCCACGAGCCGCCTCTGACTTTGTCCTACAATAAAATAATATTACAATATCTTTAAACTAGCTCAATCCGTGGCTTTGGTTGCAATGCGCCTAGTCACTACTGGAATGATTCTTCGGAATTCGCTGATTTACCACTTTCGTCTTGGTAGATTTCCAAACACAAGAATTTTCCTCTTGTTGTAATAACTCAAAGATGGAAGTATAGTGTATTGGCTATGCCGCCGCTTACTAGTTTAGCTCTTCTAGTCCCCTGCTACAAACGGCATGTAAACAGGGCTAGGCTAGTTAGAGGCGTCCGTGAAGGCCTTACACTGTGCATTTCAGCATACTCATAGGCAGTTCTGAACACTTTAAAAGCTGTGTTCTATAATATGGTATCCCCTCTGCATCTGTGCTTTCTTTCTTTAGTCCATAACCAAAATAATGCCGTGGCACATATTAGCGAGCGCAAAAACATTATTTTACCGTTTCTAGGAAACATGACCGCCGAACAAAGATTTGTAGACTAATTGCTTTATCAGCAGTGAGTGAGTAAACGCGCGCGTCGAGTATTAAGCGCATAATCAAAAACAACAATTGGTCAAATCTGGAATCCTGGAGAGTTACACAAAATAAACGATGCTTTGAACAGATCATACCACACCACATAGTAAAAAAGAAAACATTATCAGGGATGATGGAAGCTATCATGAATGGAACAACAAGACTGGAGAACAACAGCTACTATAACCAAGTTACCGGAAGGAGTCTACCAGGCCGATAAGGCTTGGATTCCCCTGCAATGTCGGCGGCCGACAGTCTGCATCTGAGTTGTTCGTTTTGGGAACCACAGATGGTTATTTTTAATCTTTTACACACTTTTTAAAACAAAATACCCTGTTTGTTTAATCTACGGCTGGAGTGATGCTATTTATTGTTGTCTGGTCCCACGAGCCACAAGTCCGTTTGTTAATCATGTTATACTTATCTTTAATGCTTTTCAAACAAAGTTACAACGAATTCTTCATGTATTGCATCCTGGGTCTGGACAGGATATGCCCGTTTAAAATATTTCCATCACGTTACATTACATAATTCTCAATAAATGTAATAGATTTGTAGTGTTTTAATTAGTTTAAATTAACTATCATAACAGTAATATGCATATGTATTTTACTGACTGCTGTACATTACTCTTTATCAGGGAAGTTCCACCTCGTATCTAAGAACGGTCGTTTTGAGAAAAGTGTGGAGGCACACACAGGGGCTGTTATTGCCATCAAGTGGAGTAAAAACGGTAAGAAAACCAGTGTTCGTTGCTTTTTCTTCTTTTCAAGTTACAGGGTAAAGACTTGAACCTAAAAGTTGTTACTTGTTATGATGTTATCTTAGTGCTCTAAATAAAATTATCACCTGAGATTGATGTTTAAATGTTTTGTTATCCAGCAACCCCCAATGTACCCCAATCTACCAGGCAACTCTCTGGTGACGGCTGGGGAGGATGGTCAGGTGAAGATATGGTCCAGATCTGGCATGTTGCGCTCCACTCTGGCTCAAGTTGGTTAGTTTTTATGTAGTAGTTATGATCTTGTTGTTAGTCACAAAGCTCATTACATCATACATATAGCTCACTAGCTAAGATACTCCGAACTAAGCTACACAGAATCCGGACTACACGGAATCCAGGATTCTGGATTCTGTATTATTCATTAAGGAGTTAAAATGTAAATGCTGAATAACAGTGTGTCTAGTTCGTTGCTTGGTGTATATCTTCAGTATGTTTAAGGTCCATTTACTCGTGTCTTTTATTGATAACATTACTAAATTTTAAGTTCCTGATGTGTACTCTCAATTTCCTAATGTGTACTCTGAAGCTCCGTCAGGTTCGCCAGTGTACTCGGTTGCCTGGGGTCCAGACAGTGAACAGATCTTGTACGCATGTGGCAAACAAATCATCATTAAACCTCTCGCTCCCTCTGCTAAAACAACCCAGGTGAACTTCCAGATATTTAACATGATTCTTACATGTAATACTCATGTATAAGTTCACCATTACCATTGTTTACCATGTGTTGCAAAGATTATACTTCAATTTGTCAGTAACTCCGAATCATATTGATTACAATTAATAATTTACTCTTCTGTCAACCTGAATATTTATCATCTGAAATAGTTTTTAATTGATCTGCTACATATCATGTTACATTGCTTACGTGACTTAGATCATCAAGAAAAGAGCAACTTATTAAGTTTATGTAGTACAATATTGCATGTTCTGGAATGAAAGCTAATGAAAATATTTGAATTTCTAATGACGTATAAAAATCACGTTTGATTAAATTAATATTAAATTGTTTTTATGCGATAATTCATAAACGTTAATCAAGTGAAGAATAGTATCGGATCACATATTCGTGCGTCATGCCGCCTTTGAATGCTTCTGACTTACGTAAAACGTAATATCTACGACTTTTTCATAACCTTTAAGATCATTGGTTGAGAATAACTTGAAATCAAGTTAAATTATAAAATGAATATATTTCAGTGGAAAGGACACGATGGGCTAATCATGAAGGTGGACTGGAGCTCTGTAAACAATCACATTGTATCAGGTACATCTGATTCTTGTTATTCTATTTATACCTTTCATTTTAAAGCAATGAGACACACCTTAACATGTAGTTAGGGTTTGGACTGGTTAACCAGGTTTTAAATTTCCCATAACATATTCACTGAAATACCAAAACCCCGGATTCATGCAATGTGAGAGCCTTTGTAACGCAGTCTGGATTCTGGATTCTGATCCGGCCACTTTAAAACTTCGTTGCAAAATCCAGGATTAGCTTGTGAGATCACTCAAGTTTGCGCCGCTGGAAATATTTAGTCCGGGAATTATTTGAGATCGCTCTTTCATTCGTGAATGGTAAACACGAACTGTTGAAACTTTGAGATCAAATCAAGCAGGAGAGGCAGACTAGATGCCATCTTGGCCATGCACGTGGGAGGAGGAATGTCACGATCCCCAGGAAAAATCAAAAAGAAAACTTTCGGGCTTGAAAATCATCATGGCTAGTAGATATAAATGAAATTCGAAGAAATCAATTCGAAGAAACTAATTTTTCAATCCAAGTATGACTGACGATACGATTTCACTATCTGCATATTATGTGTCTTGAATTGTTCGGGGCCTTTTGAGTAGGGGCCTTTTCGTCATTTTGAGGGTTCTAGATTGATACGTGAAACAAATGTATGATTGTCAAATGTCAATTAAGACTTCCTGTTACCAATATTTCTGTCTGACCACATCCTCCTCATTTCTAAATGTCACTAACTCTCGCAGGTGCTGAGGATAGGAAATATAAAGTGTGGGATAGTTATGGTCGTCTCCTGTTCGCCTCCCATCCCCACCATTACCCCATCATGTCCGTTTCCTGGTCACCTAACGGGGAGATGTTTGCTGTGGGAGCCTTCAATACCCTCAGACTTTGCGATAAATCTGGCGTGAGTTTAATTTACTGATTGCAACAATCACAGTTTTTAACCAGGCTATTTGAGGAAGAAAAGGTAGTCTAAAAGTAGCGCCTGACTTTGTGCAATGATTTGATTAATGAGATTTGGTCGGCGAATTTCAGAGGTAGAAAGAATTTTTTGTTTAAAATTAGGAAAATATTTAAGATAAATGTACTATTTTTGACAAAAGTAAAAAATTTACGAGGGTTAGAAAAGAATGGAAATTAAAATGAATTCGTAACCACCTTTGAAATTCCCGCTGCCCTTATATATTTAGCAAGAGACTAAAATAGATACTGACTGAGTCGTGGTAGTAAAAATTCCTCCGGCTGCAGAGCACTAGCCATCCCAAAATAAAATTTGGATTCCTATCATGTCGGTTTTACAACTAATTTAAAACCTTCATTACATCAATGTAATGTCAGAGCATGTCGGTCGACCTGAATTTCTTATCGCCATAATGTTGAAATTTGACTGAAGACCATTGCTACATTTCGTGAGAGTAATTAAATACGCATTTTATTTTTTTTCTGACGTTGAACTTTAACTGTAAATCAAATAACAATATGGCCACTGCATATGATTCTGCACTCTGCAGACTTGCAAATTTTCTGTAAAAACAGGATATTCGCTACAAATTGTCGCGTAGGTTAAGTTATAAATAACTTAGAGTGAGAATATTATAATAAAGATGTCGACGTGGAGGAAATGTTATGCTGCATTTCATTTCGAAATTTTCTCGGAAGAGCTGTGAGAAATTCCGTGTGAGAAATTAAATATTGTCGGAGCGATTATTTTGTGATACCTCCGAACTTATGTTTGACTGAATGAAAACAGGTTTTTCAGCAAAAAAAGGATTTCCGAGGTCAAATGTCGTGTGGACTAAATCAATATTTATTTTAGAACAAGAAGATGTCGACACGGAGACATAGGATATACATATATAATACTTTTAAAAATTTGGGAAAATTCTTTGACTTTAGTGAAAAAAACATGTGCTCAAATAATTATTAATTTGTATCTTTAAATGAACTAGCTGCAAGAATGAATACGAGTTAAAAAACTCTTGGTCGGATCAATTCTCTTACTTGAAGAAGTGTCATGTTTTCCTGAATAACAGCATAGTTCATAGTTTTCTGCTTTACTAAATCTGCTCATCATAAAAACACTTCGGATTTAGGAATCAGCACGATTCCTAACAGGCAGTAGAAGAGCCGTTGCAACCCGAAAGTTTAATTTGTAATACTTTAATGTTTCGAGTATCTCAAACGGCAGATTCGCTCAGCATCCTGTATTTTTGCATCTAGCCGTATGTGACAATTTTCGCGAATGCCGGTTTTTCTGGAAATTTGGCGCGTAAAATTGATAAATTTAAAAATATACGTGGCGTAATAAGAGACATAAAATAATATAATTTACATAAATAAGATTTTATTAATATTGCAAATGATGTTGGTTAGAAATTGGATGATAAGATAACAAAAATTTGCACGATCTGCACAAATCTCCATTATGTAAATCAATTTGTGGAGAATATGGAGACGGCATATCGTACTGAATTAATTATTATCTTCTAGATTGTACCGCAAAATTGATATTGTGGTCATCGATTTACTATTAAATTAAGACACAATTAATCTAACTACCTCTGCTAGTGGTGCTACAGTCTGGACAAGCCGAACACGGGATCTATCTACTCCTTGGATTGGTCACGTGACAGAGTCGTTGGGAGTGGCCTGCACATCACACACATCCGCGTTGGCGTCGTAAAATATGTTCCACTGTACTCGTTGGTAGCTAAAAGCTTCTGTTGTGTTGCTGTCGATGTTTTCCACACAAGTATACTTCGAGCAGCATCTTCGAAGTACGCAGGTCTTCCAGTTCTTACGGGTGTCTGCCGGTTTTACACTGGGTTCAATTCGTCGCGAAATCTAGGCCTTAGTACGACCAATTGACCTACCTGACAATTAACCCCCCTCCCCCGCAATTTGACCCCCGACAATTAATTACACTGGGGGTCATTGATAGGGTCCAGGGTCAGGGGTCAGGGTCAGGGTCAGGGTCAGGGTCAGGGTTCAGGGTCAGGGTCAGGGTTCCGGGTCAGGGTCAGGGTCAGTGTCAGGGTTCAGGGTCAGGGTCAGGGTCAGGGTCAGGGTCAGGGTCAGGTCAGGGCGTCAGGGTAGGGTCAGGGTCAGGGTTCAGGGTCAGGGTCAGGGTCAGGGTCAGGGGTCAGGGTCAGGGTTCAGGGTCAGGGTCCAGGTCAGGGTCAGGGTCAGGGTCAGGGTAGGGTCAGGGTCAGGGTCATGGTCAGGGTCACCAGGTCAGGGTCAGGGTCAGGGTCGGGTCAGGGGTCAGGCGTCATGGTCAGGGTCAGGGTCAGGGTCAGGGTCAGGGTCAGGGTTCAGGGTCCAGGGTCAGGGTCAGGGTTAGGGGTCAGGGTCAGGGTCAGGGTTCGGGTCAGGGTCAGGGTCTCTAATATTTTTTTTTTTTGCTGGTTAGTGACAAGATCTGTCATTTGATGGGGTTAGGTATTGAAGGTGGATGGAGGAGGAGGAGAGGAGGGGGCCCTGGAAGACAGGGCCCCGAGCTAATGTGCCCGTCCCACAAGAAGGAGGCTCATTAGCTCGGGAATCCGACGGGAGTTTATCAAACACTCTCGAACTTTAGCTCCATCGACACCCAGGAAAACGGAAAAAGTTCTGTAGGATTCCTACTGCGGGAAGCCCAATAAACCATATCAACAGCTACATATCTCCCCATCTGACTAGACAAAGCCGATTGCACTGAGAGCTCCAACTTTACCCCAGGCGCCATCAGCCTATTCCACTCCAACTGCTCTAAATAAAAGTGGGGGACTCTGCAATCAGGACACTGCTCCCAAGGAGAGTATTGGGTCGCTCTTATTAGGAACACCATACAAAAAACCAACACAATGATAGTGAAAATGTAGCTCAGAGATATACAGGAACGACAAATGTTACACGTGAGGGTTGAGTACGGTAAATGAGTGTTTAACACGACTGCAAAGTTACTGTGAAGTGAAGTACCACGGCCAGACCTAAACACCAATGCAGGATGCTATTAGACAGCAAGTAAAGGGGAAACTAATAAGTACTGATCTCCTGCACGTCTTGACCGGTTTATAGAAATCAGTTATCACCTTGAAAATTGTTATCGGTGGGTGTTTTCTCCATGAAACCCATCCCACAAGTAGTCCAGTAACACATGGTAAGGGAGTATCACTATGATACCGTACTCGATTATAGTAGTTGAGAAGAGTGGAGGGTATAGCGAAGAGGACTGACCGCCACAACAGAGGTATGTGGAAGACCTCCTAGACAGATGTTACCTCGCATGTGCACCGTAGTCGATATTCAATGGGGGGTCGGTCAAGGTTAGGGTTTTTTCTCCGGCTGGTACCCGTACTCTCTTAGAGCCAGATCAGCTTCCTTGAGAGTGCTGCCAACCTCCAAGCCAGCGGGGTCCTTCTTGAGTTCAAGTGAGAATGAAGACAACAGCTAGCACTATTGGACATACAGACAAGCCACCGATGAAACTCGTAGGGCATAGCTTCTACCTGATACACTTGAGAAGGATTAGCTGCCCGTGTGAAATCATATGCTGCCTCCACTAGCGAATAGAGCCAGAAGCCAGCCATACCTTCTTCCTGTGATTGTAAGCGGAAAAATCTCGGACCCAAAATAAGATGGAGAGGAATGTTCATGACACCGGCAGAAGAAGCCATAAGGTGTTCGAGCTGGTAAAGAGGAAAAAACCCACCAAGCGGAGGCAAATATCTGGACGATTCCAGTGATGAGGACGAGGTAGAGGAAAACCTATCAGCGACTTTTCCTTTCCCCACTAGGTCCGCTGTCCAGCCAATTAAAAACATGCCCCCCCCAAACGGAATAGTGAATAAAGATAGAGCAATTGCAGCCAGGTTCTCTCAAAAGACTAAGTTTCAAACTTGCCAGTTAGCGTATGCCTGGATAACACAAGTTAGGGAACACTTGACTACCAGCTCCCAATCCGGGCCAGAGACCCGCAGCAAGGAGTCAATAGACGGAGGTATTTGGACTCATTGGAGTTACACAGCCGTGTCCAGTGGCGTAGTTGATGGTCCACAAGACCTGGGTGGGAGGCATTACGATGAGCGGACTGCCCCATTTCTGGTTCCTAGTGGGGGAGCGGCCTGTCGTCTATGGGAGGTGCTGGCTCATCAGCAAGGAAACCACCCTATTTGCTACCTATTTGTCCTGCGTGCATAGATGATACGTCCGACTCTACGATACTCCTCAGTGACAACGAAACTCTACGAACTCATCAACCAAAAATACGAACACTGAGGAGTTCGTTTTGTACAACTTACGTTTAATAAATGAAATTAAACAGAAAATTGTATTTACAATTCAGCCAATTTCAACACCATAAAAAATTTAACGATTGTAAAACAACTTAAATATATTGGTACTCGAAACTTTCTACCACGCGGTTCGCTTTGTACACTGTACATTTCACAGTACAAGGACTGGTCGATCGGACTGGACATTCTGGCGCCAATATTTTGCGCGCGCACGTTCTGGCGGTTCCCCTGGACACGTTGCAGAAAACTTCAACTTGTACTTCTGGCGTTGCGTTTCGTTTTCTTCTGCTGTAAACAGCTGTGATCACACCGAATGTACATTGTACATTCAGTGTTCATGTATGATGTATACATTTTATTTTGCCATGTACAGCAGACTGAACTATTTGAAATTGAAGTGCACTGTGTATAGACTTATAGGTATAGTTGATGATTCAAATGTCATTGTAGGTACAACTTTCAGCAGTAAAGTAGACAGTGTACAGTACTACAGTAAAGTTGATATAATAATGTACAGTTTATAGTTATCTGTATGCATAGTTTGGTACGTGATAACGCCTGCCAAGATCGTACAGAAATCCTGAGCTGATTACTTTTTTAAAAAAACATTTTCCATGTTTTTTTTTGAAAAATTGACTAACGAACTCCAACGAACTCTAACGAACTCCAAATTTTGAACGAACTCCACGAACTCTACGCCAAAAATCAACGAACTCCGCATCTATGCCTGCCGGGGTTGCTGGTATTCACTGAATTGGGGTAATCTTGGTTGTTGGGCAGACTGAGAGTCTGCTGAGGGGATGGCTTGTTCTGGGGCAGCTTGTTCTGGGGCAACTTGCTCTGTCGCTGAAGCTTCATTTGTGGGCGCCGCTCTGTCGGCTGAGTCAGTGGGATTCTCATTTGTATTTGCAGTGTTATAGCTTGATTGAGGAGTTATCTCGTTTCGTACAATCGGCTGTCTCTCCTCATTATCCATATCTGCTAGATTCTACTTTAACTTGCTCGTTCTCTTAAACTACATCTGCTTAAATAATAACTAGTTGTTGATCTCGCAATCAATTCAAATTACACCAAACAAAACAGTGCCATAAAATGTAAATATAAATTTTAAAATTCTCATAAAAATCGAAGCACGTTTCGCAAAATATACTCCAGTGTAGTTTTGTGCAAGCTCTCAATAAACCACGCAGTGTTTGCAGTCTCATTTGTTAGAATGTGTCAGCTATAACCCATTATAAACATTGTAAATTCAACGTTGAACTTCTCGACAAGAATTGCGCCCATTTTATTTGGTGGCGGACGCTAGATTTCCATTCACTGCAAGCTCCTATCAGTTCACTTCACAATATATCATGCTTGTGACCGGATATCCGGCTAAAAGTCCTGTGATCTTCTCTCTAGATAGCACTATATACGAGTCTGAACATTGTTTTAACTAAAACTTTCTCTTTCAGTATTGACGACTACATGAACTACAAGCCTGCAGAAAAAGCAGAACAAATTGATGCTAAGACGAAACAGTATATATGGATGGGAGAGTTGCTGAGGGACAAAACCACCGAACCACTCAGCTTATAGTGCTGTAAATTCTTGCATTTTAGAGCGAGATTCTCATCTACAGGTGACATGTTTATGTTTACTGTCCCTTCAGATAGATCCAGTGGTACTAATTGTGTATCCTATTTTATTTTCTACCATTGCCTGATCACCCGTAAGTGTTGAGAACCTCGCGAACTGTTCTCCTTCCAGTTCTTGAAGCGGAGGTTCGATCTCAACATCTGAACATTCTGTGTTAAGCATGACAGCTAAAAAATCCCGAACTGCATTATGTCGGATGATAATTTAACCAGCCCACCAAGATGACAATAAAGAGCAAGGTTCACATAAAACACTGTGATGGCTAACGATCCAAGTCGTTCGTTTCATGAGATTCTGGGGGGGGGGGGGGGGGGGGGGGGGGGGGGGGGTGTTGTGGTAGCCGATAGTGGTAAATTAATTTTTATCATATTATGAGGATATTACATGGGATTGTGGTTAAACTGGAATATCAACTGATGTTGGTAACTGCAAAGAGTTGGAGTGGAGTTGTTCTTCTTACTTTGGCTGCTCGGTTTACTGATGTGGTAACTGCAAAGAGTTGGAGTGGAGTTGTTCTTCTTACTTTGGCTGCTCGGTTTACTGATGTGGTAACTGCAAAGAGTTGGAGTGGAGCTGTTCTTCTTACTTTGGCTGCTCGGTTTACTGTTTAAGCTGCTCGAGAAGACTTAGTATTTTATCAGATTCGTTTAACCCGGGGAGGGGGGGGGGGATCGGGTACCAGTTTTGGATATTTTTCACTAGACACACCCACCCCCTTTGCGGTACTAACTGTTTTTTTGGATAATACGTAAGACACCCACCCTTTTGCCGCCTTTTGCGGTACTAACTGTCGAAAAATCGTGTTTTTCTGGGAAATGGGCAGTAGACCCACCAGTTAGTACCATGTACTAACTGTGTTTTTAGAAGAAAAAATGACCCACCCACCAACGTCACGTCCGGTACTAAGTGTATGATCCCCCCGTTTAACCGTGCATAAAAGCAGACAAAACCCATTCTGAAAGAACCAAACAAAATTGAAAATTAGGCAGTACAGTCAGCATGATAAAAGTAGCAAATAACGTAAGCAAATCAACAACAGAAATAACAATCCCAAACAATTTAAAAGTAAATATTCTTAACTTTCAGCCGTTACTCGCATTGATAGAGCTTAATAGTTAGTTACTTAATAGCTAGTCAGATACATATCCACAGCAGTCAACAGTCAGCACGATCTAAGTAAGAACGATCTAATCCTTTCTTCAAATCATATGCGATCCAGATTTTTCCTGGATCTTTTGCTACTGTAATATAGCGTGTCTCATCACAACATATGTCTACATGATAGGCTCAACAACATTACTACTAGTACGTTCTTGCATCTCCATCTCTGCAACCATGTTGTTAATTCTTCTTGAGTTAATCCAAGATATCATTTCACGTTTCAGTATTGCGATCTTCCCTGTCACCCAGTCATTATTGGCTTGCAATGTATCAAGGGGTTCATCAACGAATTGATCGGGACAACAATTCCAATCAAAGTGTCAGTATCCAAGAATGGAATGGACCAGTCGAAGAAGCTCCCAATGATTGCAACATTGACGGGGATCCAACATACCAGCTGGGATCCGATCACCAGGGATATCTTCAGAGTGAAGATATTGACGAGGTTAACCAAGGGAAAGACCGCCATGAACCCGGACATGGTGATCTCCCTGCCGGACATTCCATTAAGACAGGTGAAACACCGGCAGATACTCATTGCTACAGATGCCTGCAGCGCACCTTGACTAGCTGCGAAGAGGATTGTCCCCGCAAATCTGCAGACCATGGAGGATATCCAGTACACATCGAACAGACAGTACTCACCATCGTAGGCAAAGTTGGCTCCTACAATTGTGGCGAGGTAGACGGCGATTAGTAAGTCATATTCACCGAGTACTATGCACTGAATCTTGACAACCCTGAATGCCGCCTTCGCAGTGGAGTCATACGTATTCAGATGATGGTAGATTGCATATATATCGAGGACTAATATGCAAGCCATCTGAATTGCAACCACGTAAGGAAGCACTCTACCACTTATCAGATTATCTTGGGAGGAGAGGAAGGAGGAAGTGGTACAATTGGTGCATTCATCAGAGGAATCCGAGCAATCTGAAACTGAGTCACATGTCATGTTAATTGGAATGGGCTTGTTGTCTGACTTGCAGTAGAACGTGTCTGGGCAGTTCTGCTCATCAATACCGTTCTCACAGTGCTGAATACCATCACAGAATACCATCTTTCTCCGACCATCGCAGTGGCTCACACTTTGGATGTAAAGACTTGTTTTCGCACTTGTACGTATGTCGGGTAGTTTGCTCCTTGTAGTTTATGATGCAAATTAATTCTTTTACAGTGAGAGCTGATTGAGGTACTATCCATTATGCATTGCTCAACTTTTTTGGGATCTAATGATATCTGTCCAATACTTATATCATCTTCATCTTGCCAAGGTTTTAAATCATCATAAAATTTTTCTGCCGCATAGTTTGCCTTTAAGCAGTCCAGCTCTATGTAGCATTCTGCTTGTGACTGATTATAACTGGGCAACTTTTTGCGAGTTAGAAAATCTTGACAAGCACATTCGTCACTGTAGTCCTTACAATGTGCTCTACCGTCGCAAACTTGCTGCAAAGAAATACAACCATCACCATCAGCGCAAAGGAAAGTCTCGGTGCCGCAATAACACTCGTCCGTTCGACAGGATGAGTAGTTGTTGCACATCTGACTTACTGGGAGTACGCAACCTGCTCGCAGTAAACCTGACACATTGAAGTTCCCGTAGTAGCAAAGTTTGTATCCGGAAAAAGGATTTCCCCTCCCTTGCCTCCGTAAATTGATCAATATCCCAGAATCTGTATTCTTTGTAGTTATCCCGTACCGCGATTAAGGACTCTATTTCCCCAAAGACAAAGTCATTACAGATTATTTGCTCGAATTTCCTTTGAGCTAGTCCGGGTGCCGTTAGCAGGAATTGGGTCGATTGTGTGATTCTATCCCAGGCCGTGAGGTTCAGTATTGAGAGGAGATGAGGTAGTTTCATTACCTCTGGTGCTTCATTACCAAGCTCAGAACAGACAAAAGTCAGCAGCCCTACCAGAACGAGTAGTCTCATATTATCGTGCCTAGAATATGATTCGTAAGAATATTACCACAAATATATAAAACCCCGATTTATTGCAATATCGCGCCCCGATAACCGCAAACCCCGATTTAACGCGGCCATTTCCCTTCTCCAAATGGGGCTTTATTTACAAGTTTAAGCCCCATTTGGGGAAGTTGCAG